TATACCTCATACTGAAAGAAAGTGATTATATATATATATATATATATATATAGATAGATAGATAGATAGATAGATAGATAGATAGATAAATTATATGTGTGTGTGTGTGTGTATAGATAGATAGATAAATAGATAGATAGGGTACACAAACACAAGTATTATTGCTTGTGAGAAATTTTTCAATGCATTTACCCTATAAATAGCCTAGGTGTCAAAAACGACACTTCGGCCATTCAAGGTAAAGCCTCAAATATCAGCTATTCCACTAAATATTTTTTAAAGAATTAAGTCTGTTAAGCATCTTTGCTAAAATTCAATAATTGTCCATAAGCCTCAGCATCGAACCAAAACTAGTTATTCCATAGGGATTTGTTGAAAATTTGAAGGTGTCGAAAACGACACCTCGGACATCCTAGTGTTAAAAAACAGATCATTTACTCAAATAATTTTGTATACATATATATATATATATATATATATATGTGTGTGTGTGTGTGTGTGTGTGTGTATATATATATATATATATATATATATATATATATATATATATATATATATAGAGAGAGAGAGAGGATACCGAAACATGGATAGCGGAACAAAAATTATCCACCCACGCAGATTAAATAAATGGTTCGGTTCTAAAGTCTCTGAAGCTTAAACGGATCAACAATCACATCTGACGAAGGCCGGAGTACACAGCAACCGGAACGTTGTGATGAAAACAATGATGATGGGGATATTGTCTACATCTAAATAATGATAACTCCTCATCTCATGAATTCAAACAAAAATTAACATTTGCAAATAAAAAAAATAGGTATTTTTTTAAGAATCAGCGGTCGATTTGATACTGTTTTATTATTATGAACAGAAACCCCTTCTAAATCGTTAAAAATACATATTTTTCAATTCTGACAAATGCTGTAGCTCGGGAATAATAAATGTTAATCTACTAAATGTTTTCTCGAAATAATTTATCCTATATTTTTTACGAGTGAACCAGTTAATTTAAATAGTTCAATTTTCAATTTTGAGAGCGTATGGTGTAAATGTCCCATTCTTTTATACGTTTATTACAAGTGGCTATATGAACATTGCTGACTTTCTTTTGCTTTCAATGTGATCTTAATGTTAAGGTCGTTACCACTCTCATAACAGAAAATAGTTTATTTCAGTAAGCGAGAAATCTATATATATATAAAGTCGTAGCCTCTGTCTGTTTGTTTGTTATCGAACTCCTTCTAGGATTTTCGAGATAGACCCCCATAACTATATCCAGGGGTTGGACAAAATAATTGGAACACTTGTTAAGTTCAAAGAAAATTTACTTAATATGGAGTTAGTCCTCCTTTAGCCTCACAGACAGCTTTAATACGTCTAAGAATGGAATCATACAGCTTCCTGACTTCATCCAGAAGAATTTTCAGTCATTCTTCCATTAAAACCTCCAGTTCTTTACAACACGACGGTGGAGGATAACGGCTCCTAGCCTGTTGTTCCAAAATGCACCACAAATGTTCAATAATATTGATATCTTGAGATTGGGGAGGCCACTCTATGTGTTCTAGCTCATTTTCATGCTCTTCATACTAATTCTTAATCACTAGCGGTATGTATTGGAGCATTATCGTCTTGGAAGATGCAGTCACCATCAGGGAATAACGTCTTGGCCACTGGATGAACATGATCTCCCAAAATGTTCAGGTAATCTTTGCTGTTGATTCTACCATGCAGGGCAACTATTGGACTGAGATATTTTCATGATATTGCGGCCCAAATTATCACTGACCCACCACCATGCTTCACTGTTGGAAGAAGGCAGTCAGGGTTGTAAGCTTCTTTGGGCTGCCTCCACACATAAACTCGCCCTGAAGTTGGGAAAAGAGAAAAACCGGGCTTGTTTGAGAATATGACTTGCTTCCATTGGTCTGCAGACCAGGCATTGTGATCTCTGCACCAACCTCTTTTGAATGTTGCGAGCGGAGAGAAGACATTTCCTCACAGCGGCTCTTCCATGATATGCAGCCTTATGGAGCTCACGGTGAACAGTTTTAGTAAAAACTGAACTATTCAGATGGTTATTCAACTCAACAGTCACTTTGGCCGCATTTGTCCGATGATTTTTTTTTTTTTTGACACATTGCGTTTCAATGCACGTTAGTCCATGTCAGTAAGTTTTCAAGTCCGGCCCGAATTGCTACGGTTGCTAGAGGTCTTGCCTTGTTTCTCGAATTGCATCAGTGTTCTTGATATGGTAGCTCTTGAAAAACTAAACAGTTCAACAACCTTAGTGATCGAGGCTCCTGCCATGCGACCTCCAACAATTTGCCCTTTTTCGAACTCAGCTTAAATTTTAGCTTAAATTTTACTAAATTCTAAAAATAAATAAGACAACGACAGTAAATTAGATAAATAAACGTATTTACAATAGATATAACCTGCAATTACGAAGTTTTAGTTAAAGTTCTTAATATAATAGGTCTTTGAAATATAGAAGTGGATTTTGCAACTGTTCCAATTATTTTGTCCAACCCCTGTATGTATTCTGAAACTACATTACTCAGGGTACTTGAATAAGTATATTTCATTTTGATCAAAGATGGTCACCGTAGTGACACAACCCCTCCCACTGAATTTTTCTTCCCTTTGAAATAAATCAAATTTAAATTTGAACAAGGGATTGAATCCTAGGGTACTTGGATAAGTATATTTCATTTTGATCACAAATCTCCAACTGAAACTTTTTCCCTTTGATTTAAATTCAATTTAAATGTCTAAAAGGAAATGATTACTATCCAAAATATAGAAGGGGAAAACCACAAGATGGAGGTCACATCGGCAAGATCAAAACAGACAATATATCAAGTTGAGCAAGAAATCATCGATCAGTGAGTAGTGCTTTACACTACATATTTGTTACAATATATCTGTCATATCAATGTTGAAATCTGATCATCAATTCATTCAATCATGTATTGCATCAAATACATATCAAAGGCGTCAGATCAAGCTGTTCAAGCTCAAATTTAAATTTGAACTCCTATCCAAAATATAGGAGAAAGCCAGAAGATGGAGGTCACATCGACAAGATCATTGAGTAATATTGAAATGCGTCCTCTTTCTCCACAAATTATAACAATGATTTAAAATCAGTCATCATTTTCTTATACAAAAATGCGTGTCACGCAGCAAGGCGCGGCTAATTTCGGTTAGTTTCATAATAAAATCTATGAAGATTCGTTTATCTATGAAGCTAACAAAATAACAGACTGAAAATGAACAAGAAACAATCGACTTAAAAACTGTTTGTGGGTATCTTAAAAAAAGACTGGCTGCTCCATCCATGACAAGCAAGGGTTATTAACTTGGACAGTATATAAGAAACACGGTGCTAATATCCGCATTTTAACAGATTTTATAATTATCAAGTAGGTAATCATGGCAAAGCACGGCTAACGAAAGTGAAGTTTACAATGACACTATAGTAATTTACAAGTGGCACAAGGTCGAAAGAATGGAGCAACATTAAGGATCGAAATCAATACTTAGTTGTAATTGTTTTAATGAGTCAAGTTTGCTAAACATTACACCACGTCGAGGGACCATTAGAGAGATTATCTGATCCTGTTTGCATTCGTTTCAGGGCATACGGCCATATCACGTTGAAATACGGGTTCTAGTACGGTCACCGAAGTTAAGCAACACTGAACCTGGTGATGGGTGACCATAAGCTTGGATGTGCGGTAGTGTAATGAATAACGACTCGGAAATGGAAATCGAAGATGCGAGTTTCAATTCCAGCCGGGTTCGTTATATTCACGTATGAGCACATATCCTTGAGAAAGCTATGGGTTAATTGGTAAGGCTGGTACCATTAAACCATTATTATTTCATTATTATTTTGTTTAAAATTCTTACAATATTCTTAAACTCTTTTCTGGCTTTAGATAACCTTAAAGGTTTGATAAACCGCAGAAAACAAACCATTCAATTATTAGGTATTTACTCTCTCTCCCCCCACTAAGACGAGTTGGGATACAAGGTCAGTTTACAAGGTGAGGACTCGAACGCGTACACCCAGGCTAGGAACAAAAATTACCCGCAGCTCCCGAATCCATCGTTTACGCTGGCCTTGGTGCTAGCACTGATCCCGCTCTCTGGAGCGCGAGGGCGCGGGCTCGGGCAGCTGTTCTCCAGGGCTGGGCACTTCTTCAGTATAATTTTCCTCAGTTGCAACTCTGTCCTTTGACGGAGTCGCCCCTGAGTGCACTCTGCCCAAAGACAGAGACGCAAACGAGAGATGATAAATAGATGTGTTACAAATCACTGAAAAGAGCAACTTACACAAACAATCAATTATTAATGCTCGACCACTTGACATCAAGCACTATAATAACAAAGGACACTTGCGTTAAACACGTTATCTTCTAGAATTACTCTGTTAGACAGTTTTTAGTGGGGAGCGAATAAAACATTTTGCACACACATATTCATTCTCTAAAACATTATTATCTTCAAAAGAACAAAAAATTTATAATGTAAAAATAAACATTTCTGGCTTTAAATAACCTGTAAAGGGTTGATAAACGATGAAAACGAATCACCCAACAAAATCCTACTTTAAACTCTATCTTGCATCATATTTGGTTCGAATGATCGCACGGATCAATCCTAAGGATGAAACACCATTTTTGCTGGTACACAATTGTTATTAAGCCCAGTCCGAGAGAACCAACCCTACAGACAATAATTTTTTCTTTCTCGGGAGCGAGCTAGTGCTTGAGACCGTCTTTAAAAGAAGGGACTGGATAAATGTTTCTCCCTAGCCAACGTGAAGGTTTCTTTTATCGCAGTTTGAATGTGTGAATGGATATATCTCATAAGAAATACGCATTTTTATGGGGTTACAATTGCTATATAATAGAGTCCCAGGCGAGGAGTACAATGCTCGGGCTTGGGCTTATTACTGCTACCAGAAGCGTCCTCTATAAGGAGGAGGCTTACGACCAAATCACATTGAAACACCAGTGCGCGTACGATCACCGAAGTTAAGCGACGTCATACCTGGTCAGTACCTTGATCGGTGACCGTTTGGGAATACCAGGTGCTGTAAGCTTGGATGTGCGGATGCTGTAACGGATAATGCATCGGAATTGTTAATCGGGGAGCCGAGTTCCAATTCCAGTCGGATTTTTTATATTCACTTTCACGCAAATACACTTGGGAAAGGTATAAATAAACCTCTTCTCCCCCAGCTACGGGTTAATTATTACGACTTGCATCAATAAACTATTATTATGTCCAAAAATAAAATAAACTTGCGTACAAAAATATTTCGATTTTGGCATTAAATGATCCAAATATTCTTGGGAAAGATACCAATCAACCTCTTCTACCCCCAGCTATGGGTTAATTAGCAGGATTTGTATCAGTAAATTATAATTATCTGCCCAAAAACTTTTACAATCTGGAAATGTTTTTGGCTTTAACCTGCAAATGGCTGATAAGACGTAAAAAAATATCAATCTTATGACATATTTATCATTAACACCAGTCACATGCAGCGAAGTGAAAGTCATAACTTACTTGCAAGATATACATATGGAGATGATGAGACAAAGTTAAAAAAAAAAAAAGTATTAAACGACGCGTTACGCCGACGTGACGAATGTTGTGTTTGGTTTCTTCAGGTCGAGATGAAAGAGAACATTGTGTGAAGGAAAGTGCGTTGGGGTTTTTTGGGGATAAGTGAGGCAATAAATTAAGTAACCTTATCAGATCCGACGATCAGAAACTTATATATATATATATATATATATATATATGTGTGTGCGAAAACAATATATAAATTTCTATACATGCAATAGCGATAAACTACACCCGGTAGAAAGGCCTCTAATCGGGACAGTGGAGGTTTTGAGGAGCGTGGAACCACCTCTTAATTTGTGTTGTTCACAGTTCCACCCTGACTCGAGGTGTTAGCACTTGTTAGGGTCCCAGCCCTGGGCAAATAGTGTTTTGATTTTTGTTTGCTGGTTCATGAAGTACAAAAATATATTATGCTAAAAATACCTGCAATATATTTATAAAAAAAATTAAATGACCAGTGGCAATACATTTTTATAACAAAATGACAATCAATAAAATACTAAAGTATAAAAAACTTTTTTATGACAAAATTACCAGCAATACATTTTTTTGAATCATTTAACCCCAGTCAAGGCGAGAATGCCACTAGTACGCAGAGGGTTACAGAGAGTGAAAGTGAGATAAAAGCCTGACTATAGAGGGGATTGAGGAAAAATAAAAGATGAACGGAGTTCAAGACAGCAGAAGATATCGATTGACGTTGCATTTAAATTTTTGAAGATTGTAGTTTTCAGGGAAGCGAGTAAGCGGAAAGGAGTTTCGCTGTTAGGAAGTACGAGAAAAGAAACTCTTGGAATAGAAGTGGCGGTTACATTTAATTATTTCAACAGTAAAAGGGTGAGACCTAGATGCCAATCTAGTCACACGCTTACTAAATATACGTTTGACCAGAAAATATAAAATGATGTACAAAATATTTAGTTGAAGCCATAAAATTGCGTACAAAATATTTAGATTTCGGCATTAAATAACCTATTGATATGCTGCTAATCAAAAACAACCACAATCTTACACCATTACACATTTCTTGACAGATCTTCTATTATCACAATATAGGATATTTAATATCAAAAGTGATGACAATATGAACAAAAAGAAAGTAAATGAAATTGGCTAGACTAGATACCAAAAACATTTATTTCAAAAATAATAATTTAAATTTCTCAACGCCCCCTTTCATATCTCGTTGCATAAATATCACGCGAAAACTTTCCTCACTTTGTCATAGTTTTTCCCTAAAGTATATTATCACTATATTAATATATTATCACTTAAACGTTATTTTTACTGGGTACCAATATTTGAGTAGATGCTAAGCTTATTTATTAAACAGTAAACACCGTATATTTACGCATATAAGGGGACCTTTATATAAAACAAGGTCAAAAAATGTAATAAATTTTCATGGATTTATCCTATACCTGTAGTATAAGCTGACGGCTTATTGATTATATAAAGATGATGTTATTGGAAAGGTTGTTACTTACTGTAACCTTAGAAATTCAAAATAAACAAAATAGCAAAACCGATTTTAGATCATGTTTTTCCTACACTAAAAGAGAAACCATTGTTTTGTTTGTTTCATCACGTGATCTCTTGCAAATAATGATTCTTCTTATTCTTCCTCTTCTTTACCTAAACAGTTACAAAAAGCCTGCTGTACTAATGGCTATTTACTTATACTTCATCGACATTAATTAATTTTTAATGAGAAATGTATATAATGTTATCCTAAATGTTATTACTGCCGTAATTAACACTACCATGGTGATTATTGAAGTTTTAGCGAAAGATAACATTTGCTGTGAACGTAATTATCACTCGATGTTTAGATTTTCTCAGCTGATCTTGCATGGACACAAGTTGATTCTATCGATATGGAATTATTCTTCGAATAGGCAATTTATTATGCCAGTAATATATAAGGTAGAAATGGTTTTATTACTTTTATTATCAGTTTATTTGATAATGTGATTTTTTTTCATAACGTTATTGATTATTGGTTATCTCATCGAAGCCAAGGTTAGCCTACCGATAAAACATCATTCAGAATTTAAGGTTTCTTTTTTAGAATAGTTCTATATGGCGAAGGTCAATTTTTAAGGGTTATTTTGGGGATTTAAAGGTCGTCTTATACCCGAAAATACGCGGTATATTTATTTTCTTCTTCCTGTCTGAATATTCGAGAAAACTTGTTAAAGAAAATATGCGCCCTCTGGCAGGATTCGAAACTGCATTTCCCTTAGCAGGCGAAACATTCGTTAGATCCGACTTTCTTTAGTCCAATTTGGCCACGAAGCTTTTCGCCAATTGAGCGAAATCTTATAGGGCCTTAAAGCGCACATTTATTCAGAGATTCTCGTGTCGTTCATTTCTACTAAGTTTCGTCCCCTAACTCACTCTCTGTGTTTTAATTTATATAAAGACTTTCTTCTTCTTCTATACGCCGTATCCATTCAGGATGTCGGCGATCATGGCTCTCCACTACTTCGTATATTATGGCATTGTTTATCATTTTTACTATCTCTCCCATCTACCTGCTTTCATTTTAGACAAGTTCGTTAAATAGATTAAGCACTGTTTCACTTTGCTTTCAATATATCCCGTGAGTGACAAATTATCGTAGTTTTCTTTCTTTTATGTATCCCAGAATGAACAAGCTTTTTGGAAAAGAGAACACATTTTCTATAAGTGACATAATCTTTTTGACATTATCAAAGAAGCGATCTATTTAAAATTTCAATGAAAATAAACCTTTACTATCACCTGTATTTCAGATTCTGCATTTTCTTTTTTGGGTATAAAAAGTGTCTCATTATAAAACCAACAATTTCTGGCTACTCGAAAAGAAAACTTGACATTATTGACAATCGTCACTCTTTTTGGATTGTCCTGAATTTATTTTTTCATATGTATGTGTACAACGCGAGCTGTGTCCAAATATAAATCTTTGCTTCAATTTATATAGTTTTATGGATCGTGTTCGGAAATGAACATAAAAGTGAATTTAGCAGGTGGTCAAAAGTTTCAGTTCTGGGTTAAAATAGTTTCAGGTGCTGGTCAATCAGCACCGACCATTTCAGGTGACATGTTCCTACAAAAAAGAAAAAGACGGCCATCGGTGAACGCGTCTTAAGAATATAACGCGTCTGACAGCAAAAATCTCCAAATCGTGTAACAGCATAATTGTCCATCTCAAAAAATGTTTAATTTCTAAAAAAAAAAAAAAATCACTAAACTAATTGTTTCTTTTTAAAGGTTATAAGACGTTTAGCCATCCTAACAACATTTTTATTCAGCTAAAAAAAGAGTAGGTTAATATTGTTTTGTGTCGGGCCCACTGTCTTCCCAAGTGAGCAATGGTGAGAGGAAAAATATCATTCAGGCCTTCAGTAATGGCACCAATAGTCATAATCTGGCTTCCATCTTCAAATCCATTCAAGAACCATCCAGACAACGGTGAATAAGTTTAAAAAAGAGAGGACAGTAGAGAGGAAAACTGGATCAGGAGGTCATGACAGGAAGAGGGATCATCATTTGAATTTAGAGCTAAAGATATCAATTAGAAAAGATCCAACTTAATCCATAAGACGTTTGGCATTTGAGAGAGGAGTTCCATCTATGATAATCCAAGGAGCAATGATAAAAGACTTGTAAATGAAATCGTATTTGAATCCTGTGAAGCAACTTGTTATTTCAGCACAGAAAGTTGCAAGATTAGAGAGGGCAAAGATAGTCTTGAATAAGTTGGAAAATGATCCTGGAATAATATATATAAATATCTGAACTTTTTGTCAATACTTTATGAGCTTACGATCCTTAGCTATAATTAATTAATGATGAACATGTCATTTTCGTTTATGATCGATTTCATCACGATTCTTTTCTTAAGATTGGAGGCTAATTATACATTCGTATTGCTCAAAGTGGAGTCCAATAGTTTTATAAAAGCCTCGGAGAATTTCAGTAAGATATCTGTAATCATTTCTAAGCTAGAACGGTTTCTAAGTTAGAACAATTGGACAAATTTGCTGTTACACGATTTGGACAATTTTGCTGTTACACCCGGTATAATGAGATATTTTCTCTGTCGGTGCACCTGTATTTGTAATTAACTACTGTCCTGGTCAACCGAGATGAGTACAAAGGATCGGTGTAGAGGTCGGCATATTTACGGCGTAAAAATCGGTGAGCAGATGTGTAAACGGCACAAACACTAACTTCGATACAAGCATGTTCGAGGTCATCTCAGCACTGACACAAACAGGTCGCCACTCCCATTTGAGCAATTCTGGACGCTTTGCACCTCCAACTACCTACACAATCAACGTAGAATAGCCTATTACCTGGCAACCTAGAATATAGTCAAGATGTAGGCGAAACCACTGCAAAGTCAATCGCAGATTACAAAGACACGAATAACACCGAAATGGTAGCGTAGGTGAGGTCTCAAGTCAAATTAGCC